AATGCTACTTCTCATTTTTGTGTATGGTATGAGATAAGAGTCAAGGTTGATTTTTTCCCCTCCCATACAGGCACTTAGTTGTTTCCAGCACCATTTGTTTCAAAGCCCATACTTCGTACCTGAAATTCACTTGAGCATTTGTCATACCTTGAACATTTGGAGTTTTTGTTTGTTTGGTCTGTCCTTGTACCAGTGACATATTAATTACTATAGTTTGTTCTTCAATTTTATTTTTCTTTTAAGATTATCTTGGTTGCTCTAGGTCCTTTGCATATCTAGTTTATTGTAGAATTGGCTTCTCAATTTCTACACACATGTGAATGCATCTGCTAAGATTTTGATTGTATCAGATCTATAGGTCATTTTGAGGGAGAATTGATATCTTTGCACTTTTGAGTCTTCTAAACCATGAACATGGACTATTTCTCCATTTATTTAGGTCTTCAATTTATCCTGAATGTTTTGTAGTTTTCAATGTAGAGGTTTTACACATTTTTTCTTTGACAGTGAAAAATTTTTTTTTGAAGTTTGTGTTAACCATGATAATAAAAATGTAATAAATGAATTTTAATTAAATTGTTAGCAGATGTACAGTTGGAAACCACTAAAACATATGTATGTAATGCCTTATTTTCTTATTCATTCTTTAGTTTAAAAAATTAAGTGGCACTTAAAAAATAAGTTTGAGAGGGCTTCTAAATTTTTTTTTGAGATTTACCTCAAAATTTATCTCAAGATTTAAAATGCACAGATCTTAAGTGTGCAGTTAGGTGAGTTTTTTTCCCCTATCCACCCATGTAGTTACTATCTAGCTCATGATATAGGATATTTTCAATAGCTTTAAACCTCTTCCCAGTCAGTCCTACATCCTTCTTCATATGTAGCCCCATGAGAAGGCTTTGCTTATAAACGTTTTGTGTCATTATTTGAAAAGTGATTGCTTTTGAATTATTACCAGTGGGTTTTTTATATTCAGAAGAAATAATAGTGTTGTTTTTTTGGATGTTTTTAATTGGGATTAACCTGTGACATTTATATTATACTAGGAGGATTGTACTCTTTTACTTCATGGGAGATATAGTTTGAGCTGTATTATAAAGTTGCATGGTGAGAAACTCAGCAGTTAGGTGTTTGATAATTAATTGCTCTAGTGAATATTGCTTTTGATTGACCTTTTTCTTTAACTTCCAAATAGATATATTTAGTGATTGTAGCATAGTAGATTTAACTATCTCCAGCAAATATCTACTTTTAGGGTTGATAATAATAGGATGAAAAGTTGGGAAACTGAAGTTGGGAAAAAATTGAAATGAAAAAGTGGGAAAGATTGGCTTCCTAGCAAGCTAATTTTATTTATTTATTAAATATCTTTTTTATTGATTTCAGAGAGGAAGGGAGAGGGAGAAGAGATAGAAACATCAATGATGAGAGAGAATCATTGATTGGCTGCTGCTTGTGTACCCCACACTGGGGATCGAGCCTGCAACCCAGGCTTATGGTGTGACAGAAAATCAAACCATGACCTCCTGAGTAATAGGTCAACACTCAACCACTGAGCCATGCTGTCTGGGCCCTAGCAAGCTAATTTTATATAAGTAATGAATCTGGCATATATTAAACATTCAGTAATTAAGTGGTGATTTTGAAGCCACACTGTCCAATCATAAACTGAAGGTCAGGGAAGATGCCTACTCGGTTTTCGAAAAGTACAGTACTAGTTGTTTCCTTCTATTAGTGTTTTTCCCCCCAGTGGCTTAGTTGGGGAACACACATAGAGGCACACACACATACATACACAATTTTTTTTAATAGTTGTTACTGATTTTTAGAGCGAGAGGGAGGGGGAGCATAAAATCAATTGCCTCCTCATGGCCCTTACTGGGGATTGAGCCGGCAACTCAGGCATGTATCCTGACTGGGAATCAAAGTGACAACATTTTGATGCACGGGAGGACACACAACCAACTAAGCCGCATCGGCTAGGGCTATACATACTACTATATATTTTTTATTTTTAATAATAAATTTTTACTGTTTTCATATTATTATAAATATTCCTCTTCCCCCCCCCCTCCATTGCTCTCCTCTACCAGGTTCCCACCCCACCCTCTGCCCTTTCCCCATCCCCCATTGTCCTTATCCATAGGTGCACAGTTTATGTTCAGTCTCTTCCCACATCCCCTTCTCCCCTTTTCCCCAAGAATCCCCTTCCATACCTCTGATTCTATTATATTCACCAGTTAATATTGTTCATCAGATTTTTTTTTAAATTTCCTTGGTTTTTAGATTCACTTGTTGATAGTTACGTATTTGTTGTTCATAATTTTTATCTTTATTTACTTTCTCTTCTGAAAGAACCCCCTTCAGCAATTCATATAATTCTGGTTTGGCGGTGATGAACTCCTTTAGCTTTTTTTTTTTATTAGTGAAGCTCTTTATCTGGCCTTCAATTCTGAGTGATAGCTTTGCTGGGTAGATTATCTTTGGCTGTAGATTCTTACTATTCATCACCTTGAATATTTCTTGCCATTCCCGTCTGGCCTGCATGGTTTCTGTTGAGAAATCAGCTGACAATCGTATAGGTGCTCCTTTATAGGTAACTACCTGCTTTGCTCTTGCTGCTTTTAATATTCTCTCTTTGTCTTTTGCTCTTGGAATTTTAATTATGATTTGTCTTGGTGTGGTCCTCTTTGGGTTCCTTTTGTTTGGAGTATTATGCGCTTCCTGGACTTGTAAGTCTAATTCTTTCACCAGGTGGGGGAAGTTTTCTGTCACTATTTCTTTTAGTATGTTTTCGATATCTTGCTCTCTCTCTCATCTTCTGGGACCCCCATAATTCTGATGTTGGTTCGCTTGAAGTTGTCCCAGAAGTTTCTTACATTATCTTCAATTTTCTGGATTCTCTTGCCTTCTTGCTTCTGCAGAGGCTCTTTATGTTCCAAATCTTTGACTTGATTCTTGTGATCTTCCATTCTGTTTTTAGGACTCTGTATAATATTTTTTATTTCAGACAATGTATTCTTTCTTTCTTGTTGATCCCTTATCATTTCTTGTTGATTCCTTATTAATTCTAGTTGATCCCTTTTCATATCCTCATAGGTCTTATTCACCTTTTCTAGGAAATTTTTGAAAAACCTTATAAGCGTAGATTTGAACTCTATATCCAGTCGCTTTTTGTCCTCCATTTCTTTCGTTTGTGATCTATTTCGTTGTCTCAGCATTTTCGCAGCTTCCCTGATGGGGCGGGGTTTCAGGGTGGAGCCTACAGCCTTGGCTTCCGTCAGCCCTGCCCTATGTGGTTCCTGAGTCCCAGTAATCCCCAGGGTCCTTCAGTACTCCTTGCAAGCACCTCTGAAAGGTGCCCTCGATTTTCGCCTGCTGCCAAACAGTCTATTCTCTCCCCCAATGAGCCCGGAACTGGGGTTCAGTTCAGTTGGAAGTGGAGTTGGAGGTGGCGTTCAGAGCAGTCCGGAGCTTTTGTCTCCTTCCCGCCAGGCAATCCCGCGGCACAGCCAACCGTCCCTTCTCTGCGCGCAATGTGCGCGCCTCCGGGACCTCCTTTCGCCGCTCCCTTGGGTTCCACCTTACAGCCCAGCTCCCTATGGATAAGCTTGGGTCCCCAGGGTCTGGCCTAGGCCTGGGGTTCAGAGCAGTCGGAACTGGGGCCCAGCACAGTCGGAGCTTTTATCTCCTTCCCGCTAGGGAACGCCAGCCAGGCACTCAGCTGCCCCTCCTCTCCGGCTCCGTCCTCTCCGCGCGCCTCGTGTCTCCGTACCTTAGGCTTTTCCAGCTCCTCCGCGCTTCCTTCTGGCTTTCTCCTTGCTTCTCGTTGTAGAATTTCCAGTCAGTCGACTTTCCTGTAGTTCTGGGTAATGTCCATTTTATATTTTAGTTGTATTTTATTGAAATTGTTGTGTGCGGCTGCGGCTAGGTGTTTACCTGTGCAGCCATCTTGGATTCTCCCCCACACTATTATATATTTTTTAAACTTTTAAATTGGAGTATAACATAAGAGAGACAGTTACATAAAAGTACATATTTACAAAGTCCCCTTGGTGCTTCCTGCCATTCACTTCCTCTTATTAAAGGTAACCAGTATCCTGACTAATGACACTACAGATAGATATGTAAATGTAATAATATAATATGTACTATGTTCTATTGACTGCTTATGCTCAGCATCATGTTTATGTGATCCATCCATTTTGTTGTGGGAGCAGTGATTGTTTCAGTCTCTTTTCTGTATTAGAGTACGTATAATATTTGGTTAGCTTAAATAATCTTCGGGCAAAGATATCTGCTTAAATACTTTTCTCTCTAAAGCAGTTTCTAACACAGTGAAACCTTAGAGATTGGGTGGCTTTCTTACTGACTTACGGAGAGAAGCTGGTACCTGGGGGTTACTGGGAAGGAGGAACATGCACATGGCCCCGCTCTTAAGAGCTAGTGTTATCAGGATTTACCCCAGCATGTAGCTGAGGCCGCAGGGTTTGGAAGGCGCGATTCAGGAGGGATTTAAGCAGCCTGGAGCTCCAGAGGGGAAAAAAAGAGTGCGGCTTAACGTTTTGCCCTAATTAAATATATATGTATGTATATGTATATGTATACATTATATGTATATATATATTGTATACACACACACACACACACACACACACACATGAGCTAGTGTATCAGTGTGGTAGTAAAGAAGTTACATATCTCTATTCATTTCCTCTATCTGAAATTTATTTACTTTTGCTCGTAGAAGTTGGTGATGTTTTGAAAAGTTTATATGCTTTAGTAGTAAACTAATAGCTCATGTTTATTGAGCTCATACTAGATACAGATTCTATGCATAGTGCTTTACTTAAATTACCTGGTTTTATTTTCACCAAAAATAATGTTTTTTTTTTTTTTTTTTAATATTCTGTAGATTGAAGTTTTGGTCAGTACAAATGAATCCATTCTTTAAATTTATGTGGCCTCCATTTTCTGACTGTTGTTCTTTTCCTTAATAGGTATGTCATTGATGGTGCCACTGCACTGTGGTGTGCAGCAGGAGCAGGACATTTTGAAGTTGTTAAACTTCTAGTCAGTCATGGAGCCAACGTGAACCATACTACAGTGACTAACTCGACCCCTCTGCGGGCAGCTTGCTTTGATGGCAGACTGGACATTGTGAAATACTTGGTTGAAAATAATGCCAACATCAGTATTGCCAACAAGTATGACAACACCTGCCTAATGATTGCAGCATATAAGGGACACACTGATGTGGTCAGATATCTTTTAGAACAGCGTGCTGATCCCAATGCTAAAGCACATTGTGGAGCCACAGCATTGCACTTTGCAGCTGAAGCTGGGCACATAGACATTGTGAAAGAGCTGATCAAATGGCGGGCTGCGATCGTGGTGAATGGCCATGGGATGACACCATTAAAAGTGGCTGCTGAAAGCTGTAAAGCTGATGTCGTCGAACTGTTGCTCTCTCACGCTGATTGTGACCGAAGAAGTCGGATTGAAGCTTTGGAACTCTTGGGTGCCTCCTTTGCAAATGACCGTGAGAACTATGACATCATGAAGACATACCACTATTTATATTTGGCCATGTTGGAAAGATTTCAAGATGGTGATAACATTCTTGAGAAAGAGGTACTCCCACCAATCCATGCTTATGGGAACAGAACTGAATGTAGAAATCCTCAGGAACTGGAATCCATTCGACAAGACAGAGATGCTCTTCATATGGAAGGCCTTATAGTTCGGGAACGGATTCTAGGTGCTGACAACATTGATGTTTCCCATCCCATCATTTATAGGGGAGCTGTCTATGCAGATAATATGGAATTCGAACAGTGTATCAAGTTGTGGCTTCATGCCCTGCACCTCAGACAGAAAGGTAACAGGAATACCCACAAGGATCTGCTTCGATTTGCTCAAGTTTTCTCACAGATGATACATTTGAATGAAACTGTGAAAGCGCCAGATATAGAATGCGTTTTGAGATGCAGTGTTTTGGAAATAGAACAAAGTATGAACAGAGTAAGAAATATTTCAGATGCTGATGTCCACAGTGCTATGGACAACTATGAATGTAATCTCTACACCTTTCTGTATTTAGTGTGCATCTCCACCAAAACACAGTGCAGTGAAGAAGATCAGTGCAAAATTAACAAGCAGATCTACAACCTGATTCACCTTGATCCCAGAACTCGGGAAGGTTTCACCTTGCTGCATCTAGCTGTCAATTCGAATACCCCAGTTGATGATTTCCACACCAACGACGTTTGTAGCTTTCCAAATGCACTTGTCACCAAGCTTCTGCTAGATTGTGGTGCTGAGGTGAATGCTGTGGACAACGAAGGGAACAGTGCCCTTCATATTATCGTTCAGTACAACAGGCCCATCAGTGATTTTTTGACCTTGCACTCTATCATCATTAGCCTAGTTGAAGCTGGCGCTCACACAGACATGACAAATAAACAGAATAAGACTCCACTAGACAAAAGTACAACTGGGGTATCTGAAATACTACTTAAAACTCAAATGAAGATGAGTCTCAAGTGCCTGGCTGCCCGAGCAGTTCGGGCTAATGACATTAACTACCAAGACCAGATCCCCAGAACTCTTGAAGAATTTGTTGGATATCATTAAGTGACTGGATATGTAAAATTGTTTAATGTGGTGCTAAAAAGTAAAGAACTTTAATCACAGACAATAGAATTATGTGTTCATAAATTCTACTTTTCTTTCCATTACCCTTTCTCTATACCCATCCTTCCTTAGTTCTGTATTTGGTCTTCTTGCCTCATATGGTAATTGATTTCAAATACACTTTAAACAAAGCCACATTGTTTAGGTGTAACTAATCTAAGGTGTTTGAATATTGGTCATTTAACTTTTTTTTTTTTTTTTAAAGGAATGAATATAAAATGTTTTGTTTATGTAACAGAGAACATTTCTAATTTGAAGTTGATAATGTTTGAAAAAAATTGCCTACAAAAGTATTTCTGTTAAGCCTTTGTCAGCATGTTATTCTTGTAGCAGTTTTAAGGATTTCATGAAGAAAAACAACTAAAAGTGAACTTTAAAAGTAATGGGATACCCAGGTGTTTTGCACATGCCAAATTGCTGTAGGTAGTTTTCACTCTTCCATTAATTATATGGAGTGATACAGCACAATATAGCATCAGGAGGATTTTAAAAAATATAACTGCAGATTAATCTGAAAAATAAGCTTACTTAATAATAGCTATAAATTTGTAAAGTTAAATCAATTGAAATTATTGCATTATGCTGGGTGGTATATACCAAGTAGTAATAATCTTAAAGTGACTTTTCAGAAAATATTGATGGACTATTTGCCTTTAGGCTTCGAATTCTAAAATTCTTGAAGTCTCTGTTTTATTGTAGTTTATCTAAATCACAGCAGTCTGCATTGACTCAGCTCACAAACATTAAAAATTATGAATGCTGTGTTTTCTTATGAAACAAATTGTCACATATAGTTACACATTCTATTTTTTTTTTCTTTCTTTCCTCCTGAGTGATAATTTTTAAATTTGGAAACTACTTTTCTAGCAGGCATTATCTGTGTTTCCCTATTAAGGTGTGTATGACAGATGAAAGGAACCAGGATATTTAAAATTTTTTTTTCCACTTTAGTCTGTGATAAGAAGTAGAAAAAAATCACTAGTGTGGTATAGGAGATTAAATATTTTTGATGACGAAAAGAATTTGCAGTGCCACTTTGAAAGATAGTTCTGTTTGAGAGCTGCACATTTTTCAACCACAAATATTCCGACAGGTTGTACAGAGGTTTTTATGTTTTTTTTGTTTTGTTTTAATGGCAACATTCTAAGTGTTAAGATTAAAAGATTGTTCTGTGATTATCTTTTAAGCATCACAGAAATTCAAGCAAAGCATACACACCTATTTTTATTGATGTTAAAAAATGATAAAGTAAAATTAGCTATATCTGTATTTTTCTCTCTAGTGCCAAATGAATGCCTTAGCTATTCATAGTGCATGGTACTGTAAGTGAAGACCTACAGCTTTTTTGTTCTTTCATGAAAAGCATTATAATGATGTAGCAACATCAGATATAAACTTAAAACCTGTAAGGTTTCAGTTAACATTTTATGTATGGAAATGGCTTGGTGAAGTATAAGAGAAAGGTTGCAGTTGGATCAGTATAAAACATAATGACCAAGCCAAAATCAGCACCTAGGGCCTTAAATAAAAGAGAGATACCCCACAAAATGAAATGCTTTGAAGGGTGGGAGGGAATGGAAAGGGGGAACTTTAAGAGCTTTCCCCCTAAGAATGCAAGATACTTTCACAGCTACTGTAGTTATACTAGTACTTCGTGTGTCTTCTTGCTTCAGTTAGGAACGCTGTGATGGTTAGTTCTGTCATGGTAATATATTTCTGTTTTCCTAACCACCTGAGTTTTTACAAGGAAAATTGGTTTAAAGGGAGGTATTTGAATGAACCCTAATTTGAAAATTACTGGCCTTGATCCCCCTGGTGTTTGTCAAGGAAATACTGTACCTTGCTCTTGGCAACTTTAATGGACTGAAAGAGAAAACCCATCTTCAAGGTGAGTGAAGCACAGCTCTGCAGCTCAGATCAGACCCTGCGTTTTTTCAGACTTCAAGGCCTGCTTATTGACAGTCAGGCATGGCTGTGATACATGGTATTCAGTACATTATTAATGTATATGATTTTAAACACCAACAATTCAAGTATCAGAGAATGTTGCATGTTTTAAAAATCATTTCATCCCTTTGGCTACCCAGGACCAGCACTCTTTTAGCTATTGCTTATTTGTAAAATGAAGATAATGATTATGTGTACATATTTAGACATCAAAATTTAATGATGCTGTTTTTGAGAAGGGAGGACTGAATGCTGGAGAAAGTAAAACTGCTGATTGAAATGCTGACAAAGTTGGAGAAAATTTGAAGACAGTGGAATAAACTATGAACTCTGTTGATGGTAACTGAGATTTTTTTTTTTTTTTTTTTTTTACTATAGAAGTACATGTGTACTACATTGCTAAGGACCTGATTCTGTCTTGTAAAATCAGATATGTTTTGTGAAACACCTGTATAAAACCATTCTTGAAATGTGATCTACATGCCTGTTTTTTTTTTTATTTGTTTTTGGTAGAATTTAAAATATGTTTAGCCCAAACCCTTCCCAAACTTGTTTGTTTTTTGATTTTTTTTTTTTTTTAAGGAAAATAAATAGGTAAGAAAGGTGATAGTGATAGTTCTCTATCTCAGCTCTCTCAGAACTCTAGACTGTCTCCATTTTCCAGCCACTTTTGACATTTTATGTTTCTTATTGGTACGATTAAGCTTTAGATTGTAAGTCTTCCTTGGTAGCATTACAAATTCAATCAAAACTTCTTTGTCTTGCTCATAACTGTCATATAAATTTGGTTGACCTAGAGGCCCAGGTGGATGAGTGCCTGGGCAAACCATGTGAAACTTGCTAGATTTTGTGCTTTTAGTAGAGTTGGTAAAATTGAGTTTTTGAGATTAGGTAACTAACTCAAGAGACGGGCAGCAAATTCATCCCTTCAGTTGATAAAGATGGGCATTTTTGACAGAATTCTGATACAACATCGTGTTTTTTTTTTTTCTTTTTTTTTTTTTTCAGTTTACTTTGGTTGCACAGTCCCACTACTGTAAGGTTCTTTGTTGTGAGAACTTCAAACAAATTCGAAAGCAAGCTTTGGTCTTGCTTATTTCTGGGAAGGGTTTTATTTTGTGATACTATTGATAATCATGAGAAAGTGGTAATCATGAGAAATTTAGGTGTGATAGCACTGTGTGAAGTAAAGATGATTTGGGGGCAGTGGATCCCTAAATAACTGCATTTGGCAAGTGTTTTTGGAAATTGAAATCCCATGGGAACAACACTGTTACTGCAGTGGAGGCAGCGCCTTGATGAATAAAACCATGTTGGATTATTCAGGTAGAGCATTGGGGTGAGGAATGAGTCGCTTGACCTTGGATTACAGTTTGCTGGTTTTAGAAGCAGCCGGCGATTAAACTAGTGAGTAGATGGATAAAAGTATAACGACTTGTTTTTATGGTAGATATTCTGTAAAAGTCGTAAATGTTCCTTTTCAGGCTAGTCAGATGTTACCAACGTACAGATGACTATTCTGTTTTTCCTCACTAATTATACTGTAACATAAAAATGGGTTAAAGAAATCCAAACTCTGTCTTTTGCTCTCTGACAAGTTACTAGTTCATAAAATTGTAAGCTGTGTCTCCCACTGTGAAAATGCACAGCTCTGCTCTGGACATTCTCTCTGGCAAGTATAATAGAAAGCTCCTAACTGTGTGTGGCACATGGCAGGGCTTTCTCATCCATGTCTGGCAGATTTGCCCACATCTCCAGATGGGCTGGGTTGTATAGCATCTCCACCCCCAAATATGGAATCTGAAATAAATACTACACTGATAGTGGTGATAGATATATTACTTTTTAAAACTGTAAAGTAAATGTGGTCTCTAGTCCTAGGTTTGTGGTGTGTTCATTTGTATTACTGTGTAGGGAAGGGACACATTGACATGGTGGTTATGGGGAGTGTATTTTGATGTGTGCAGGGGTGAGTATTGCTAAACTATTAACAGCTTTTCATTTAGGGGTGAGTCACGTGACGAACGGCCCACTCAGAACAATGAAGGAACGAAGATGCAAGCTTTGCCAAATGATGAAGTGAACAAGGTTTTGTATGTTTTAAATCAGGTGTTGTGAAATTTGTGCATGGCTTTTTTTTATTGTTGCGTAGTAATTGGTAGAGGAGAAAACATGAGGGGAAAAAACCTCAGATTTGCTAACCAATCTTTTCAGAGGTACAGAGTTGGGGAGTAAAATCCGACTGGCTTTATGTGTTGAAAGTTCCCATTTTTATAATATTCATCCCATCCTGCAATCCTCCATGGAGAGGAACTAAATGGTTGTATTCTAGTAATTCACTGTGATTTATAAAAAACCAGTGATGTTATTCTATTGTGCACTTTTGTCAAACCATTTACGTGACTTTAATAAACTTAGTAAACTTGCTGACTGCACAAGAGGTCTAGTAGTGATTTATATATTGCATGACATTTTCCATTTGAGTTTGACATGTAGAATCATTTTTAATTTCATGGCAATTTATAGTCCTAATAGCTCAGTTAATTTGAAACTAACAAAGTTGCTGTGTAAAAAGACAACAGTGGTGTTTGTGTTCAGTAAATGTTTGAAAAAACAACCCCAAAACTACCTCGAAGTTTGTGTCTTTATTATCATGTGCTTTAGTTGAGCTGCTCTTTAGTTGAATTCAAATTGCCAGTTATATATATGTATGGGGGAAAACTTCAGATAGTAAAGGCAATTTAAATAGTTAAAATAAGAAAATTCCCTTCCCATGTCTCTCTGCCTCCCGTTTGAACTCTCCAAAGGTAATCACCATAACTGGTTTTTTGAGTAGCTTCTCAGAACTTTCCTGTGCATGTGTGTATTTATTTTTCTTTTTCATTAAAAAAAATACACATGGATTTTTATCCTATTCTGCATCTTGTCTTTTTTTTTTTTTTTTTTTTTTTTTTAATTGACTTAAGTGTGGAAGGGAGAGGGACAGAAACATG